TAATTATATTATACTATATAATAGTAATTATATTATATATAGTAATTATATTATACTATTAATACTACCAATATTAATATTAATAGTAATTAATTTTTCAACGCGATCTATCCGCGACAGAAAATGACGATTCGAAACATTCTTCATTTGATCCAATAAAAGAGAAGTTTCTAATATAATATTATTATTAGATTTCCTTTTCTCAGATTCAATATCACGATCGTTCATATTCTTCAAGAATTGATTCCATTTCTTTATCTTGTGTTCCAGATCACCGTGCTGACAGCATTATTGCTTCATAGTGAAATAATGATATCAATCGCAGAACCTACAATCTATAGGCTTTTACACGACGTTGTACAATGGAACATTGCAGGTATACCCGTCGTGCACAAGGTAAATGCGTGATCATATGTGTAACACTATAATTTTAATAATTATAATCGGTATCTTATCCTTCGCGTAGAAAACGGAGTGGGACTTTGATCCAGAGGTCGGCAAGCTAAGAAGAATACGATACGAGCAGGAAAATGGACGCTTCGGAGAGTACGCAATAGCGAAAATAGGAATGGGCATTGGATATAAAGGCCCATGGGGAACGCCTGTGGAAAGCTGAAACATCGAAGACTGAATAAATAACAGTTTCAACAGTGAAATTTTTTGAACGCGATATTAACATTTCGCTGGTGTATCGCCGACCGAACTCTCTCGCGGTGTAAACTTAATTTAATTAAATATATTTAAAGTTAAAATCAGTGTTATTTATTCATCATTAACAACACTCGATGTTTCTGAGACGCTGTTAACGATAATAACGTGTGCACGATCAGAAATAATTAAGAATGATTTTTTTTTCCCCATCTTAGATTCTCGTCGAATCCCGGTAAATGATTTCTATCGGATTCATTACATACTTTAGTTTTTCATCTTTTATTTTAATTGATCTTCGATTGCATATTTGCTATTATAGAATAATAATGAGTAATAATAAAACATGCGCTTTCATCATTGATGATGGCGACCGCGCAAGACAAATCGAAGATATGGCTTTTTTCCATGAATCTTCAACTTTTGCAATCCGCAGACTTTTTATCATGAAATTAAGAAATTCAATCAAAAAGGATTCCAAGGTTGTTCATGGTCGATATATTCTGGTCAAAGCAATTTTACTGCAAGAACTTTCACTTCACGCGAGAGAGGATCGCGGGACAATGGTGGGGGAACGAAGAAATTTAGATTTGAGTTTCAATGCGAATCTAGAACGTCGCGCGTACTGACGTGATGAACATCACGTAGCATTGATGTGTTTGAGTTTGATCAATCGAACTGGCGATTGTGCTTTGCGAGGAAGACTTCTCTCTACGTCGCGTTATCAGAAAATCTTCCCGGCTCGGTATCTCCCGCTCGATCGAAAGTACGAACTTCGACTGATACACTTCCAATCATCTGCCATGAGGAATTTCACTTCCGTGAGTAATATAAAATAGGAGAGTAACGTAAAATTTTGGACGAAGATTCTAAGAACGTGTTCTTTTGTTTTATCAAATCGATCGCTTAAGTGAAAACTTAATTGCCATTCGCTGCTCGCCGCAACTTTCTAAATCACCGCGTTTAAATACCGGGTTTCTACTTTGTAAGACTGCACTTTCATTGCGACACTATTGTGGTGGTTCTAAGCCTCTCTTCATTAATAATTATAAAACTGCAATTACTTTGTATCAAGAATATATGCGCATCAAGTGAAAAGTGGGACAAATTTCTTTTTCCTTCACCGTTTCCTCTTTGATCAATTTTACAGTGCCTAGCTGTGATCACGTTAACAATGTTCGCCATCCTTTTCGCTCTAACCGATAGAAGTACAGCTCAGCTCCCGGAACCTAAAGCGCCTAATTTCCAATACTTTGAACGGTAAGAATGACGTGACATTTCGACATGTTTAATTATGCGCCCGTTAAATTTCGCAATACTTACTCTAGCATCAGACAATACTGTTAACGTCCTACTTTGCATTTTTTTAGGCCAAGATATCGCTATCCATATTACGACGAGAATGGCAAGGGAAAGCTGTTGTACGGTTACGGCGGGCCGGAATTATATCAATATAAAACTTATAGCGCTTTGGAAGGAATCCATTAATATAAATAACTTTTTTTTTATCAAATCCTAGAAATTAAATGTTAAATGTTTGTAAAAGGTTAATGTTTAAAAATATAAAAACTAAAATAAAAATTTAAATAAGCTGCAATTAATGCTAAATTAATGCTAATAAATACAACACACGAGTATCCTTCCGACAGCAATAAAACTTGAAAAATTATTTGTTTTTCGCAGCAATGTGCATTTGTATTAGTTTTGCTAACGAAAGTATACGTCGTGTCGCAATCGTAGAATTAATAAGGAACGTTGTAAGAGCGTTTATTTTCGCCGATTACAAGTGTGTGTGTTAAATGCAATCGATTTGTATGACCTGTTTTTTTTTTTTTTACTTACAATAATGCTTATCTCTGTCTTACTCGGTAAAATGCTGCATGATTCGTCTTCTTTTCTAGAATTGACTGACAGTGAATGAACGGATGAGGAAATCGGCATTTCTCCCCCTTCTAGCGGGTCTTAAAAATTGTCACGTTATTTAGAAAAAAGTGTACGATAGAATGATTACGATGGTTCACGGTGCAAACATTGCTTTCTGGACTGCAATCTACTACTAATATAGATATAGAAGGAATATATCGTTAAAAATCGTCGACATTATCTATTAAACGTGCGTGGAATGTGCAGTAGCATCGCTATCATCTACAAAACAGTGATTCGTAGTCTTTCATTTTGTAGGGACAATAATTAAATGTAATCTAAATAACTATAGTTTATGTAAAACTTACCATATCCTTATACGAAATGTTTCTTTTCTTTATTTTTATCTCTCTCTACGTGCATTATGTGCTGGGAAAGAAACGGAATTGTGTATTTTGTAGAAAAAAAAAAAACCGCAGTCACCGCGCAATCAATACTGTCACGGAAAAGGATATTGTTGTTTCCCTGTGTATGTGTGATAGGTGCACACGTGACGAAGTGCAAGCATAGTCGAGTAGATGTCAGCAAGAAGTAACTGTTTCAATTGTAAATCAACGCGACCGACCGCGTTTATTGAGCCGTGTCGCGATAATTGATGCGCTTATTCGTTATGATCTTTGTCCGCCTTGCTCTCGCCGGCAGACTGCAACTGTCATACGAAGTCCATTTCGAACTTGTTGTAACACTGGCTGTTGCTGCGGCGCCTCTGCAATTGCCTCTCGACGAACTTCTTCGTCTCGCTTATTACGAAGACGCTCGACGTCAACGCCGCCAAGAATAGAAGATCTGGAAGAAAAGGAAGAGTCGAGACCTGTTCAGTAAAGAACTTGTCTGATATTGATTGTCCTCTACAGTATTGTTAGCTGCAGTACCTGTCGCCGTAAGTGCCTCAGTCTGAAATATTCTCTGTAACGGAGGAAAGTAGATCACGAACATTTGTCCGATGACAGATAACGTTACGGCTACCAGGAACATTTTGTTACTCCACAGACCGATCGTGAATATGGATTTCGTCTAAAATAAATTTTTTCTTCTTTAACACGGCAGTTCCTCAACTTGGCGTAAAAATTGCAAATAGAAACCTTACCTGCGATCTACAACTAAGGGCGTTGAACATGTCGAAGAATACGAAGCATGTAAATGTCATGGTGGTATCTCTGGCTGTATTTCCATTAACCATCTGAAGATGAAGTTTATAAAGTGTAATATACGTGTGTGCAGGAAAATTGTAGACAGGGTATTTACTCAAACTTTGGAAAAAAATTCTCATATATATTCTTTTTTAATTTCCAGACAAAGCAAAACAACATTCTTGCATATTTAGAATAAACTTGTTATTGTAAATTTGATATTTTTTACTCATAGAAATAATTAAGAACTGATAAAAATTAAAAGATTGATCAAAATCGTAAATCAGTCATAAAGTGAAAGCAAAATTCTTGAAGAGATATTTTCGATAAAAATTCTCATAAAATTCTCTTATTTCAGATTTTTTCAGATAATAAATAGAAGAGTTTCTTTTAAGAAATAGTTACCTCTCTATTGTATACCCATAAAGTGCCAAGAATAATTATGCTAGCTGACAATAAAACATTAAGTATGAGATGACGTGTGATCATTGGCTCTTTAGTGTTCCGTGGCTTCTGTTTTAATACATCTTTGTCTACCGGTTCCACTCCGAGACTGCATAAATAAATGTCAATGATGTTTAATAAATATTTAATGAGATTAAGAGAATCTCATTTGGCAATATCTAACCTCTGCGCAGGCGGACCATCCATAATGATGTTAATCCACAGTATTTGCATAGCGTTCAGGGGATTCGGTATACTCATCAATGTTGCGAGAGCGATCAAGGAGAGCGCGGCTATACTCGTACTCAATTGGAATCTTACAAAATTACGAATGTTATGAAAGATTCCTTTTCCCTCCTCGATTGCCGCGCTGAAGCAAAAAAGTAATGCAATTGATAAAAGATTTACAATCGCATGTGATTCGTAGTCCAACACATTATTGGCAAATAAAATGCTTACATAATGGTGCCAAAATCGTCATCGACTAGAATCATGTCGGCCGCTTCTTTGCACACATCGGTGCCATTTTTGCCCATAGCGATGCCTATGTCGGCCTTCTTCAACGCGACTCCGTCGTTCACACCGTCGCCGGTCATGCCGACTATATTGCCGTTTCTCTGCAAGGCCTTCACGATGCAAAGCTTGTGTTTTGGTGTTACGCGGTAAAATACGCTCACGTTATTGATGCACTGTTCGAGTTGATGCTCAGACATCATGTCGATCTCGTCTCCCGATAATAGCCGGCTGTGAAGCGTATCCAGTCCGATCATGCTGGCTGAAGATTCATTAAATCATCCATAAGCAAATTGATCAAATTGAGGAACGCATTAAAAGTTCTTTATTCAGTATACTGCAACTAGTTATTCGCCTACCTATTGCAGCCGCAGTTTCCTTGGCATCGCCAGTCACCATCTTCACTTTCACACCGCTGTTTATCAAAATGCTAATAGATTCGCGCACGTGTGGTCTCGGTGGATCGCAAATGCCGACGAAACCGACGTAAATTAAATCTTGCAATGTACTGCCGCGTGCTAAACCAATTACTGCAACAAAAAAAAACACAAAATTTTTATCATCTATTTTTATTGTCCAAAATACAAATTGAAAATTTCTCAAAAGTAGACGAAGAAATGTTTATTAATGTACAAAATTTAGATAGAATTTGTAACGTTATTTGTTAATATTGATTTTACTATTTGTGGTCTACAATATACGTTAATAATATCTAAAATTTCTTATTATACCTCGCAATCCTTGCTGGCCAATATCATACGCTTCCGTCAAGAATTCCTGATCCTTCTTCTGACTAAGTGAATACACTTGGCCGTTCTCGTAATACTTTGTACATTGCGGCAAGATCTTCTCCAAAGCGCCTTTCACAAAGAATATTTCTTGTTTATTCTGGAATGTAAATTTGTAGATTGTATTCAAACATTTCAAAGATAGAAATAATCTGATAAAAAAATCAAGGAAAATACGGTTTAAGCTTACCTCGCCAAATTTCGGCGTGCACTTCACAGCCATCATTTTTTGCTCGGAGGAAAATGGATATTCTTGCAAACGCAAGAACTTATCAGCGACGCCGTACATTCCGAATTTCATTGCCACGGCTATCAGCGCGCCTTCCGTCGGTTGTCCCAGCAGGGTATCATTATGTATAATAGCGTTGTTACATACACAACCTACTTCCAACATATTACTGATAGCGGCGCGCGCGAGATCGGTATTGTCACATTTCCGAATGTGCACTTCTCCTACGCCGTTGTATCCTGCTCCGGTAACATCCGCGATGTAACCCTCTGACGTCACGAGGATCGTGGCGGTCATCTCGTTCTTCGTTATCGTGCCGGTCTTGTCGGAACAGATCACATTTACGCAACCTGCAAATAAAACAGATCACCATGTATTTAAATTTTTATATAAATTGGGAAAGCGTATACTTTCAAAGATAAATTAACTTAATTAGGACATAGAATCTTTTTTCATATATATATATATATATTTGTGTTTAATTTTTTTGTTTCTACATGTAATTTGGAATTATTTCATTTATATTTATACGTGAACATATTTTAACTTACCAAGAGTCTCGACGGTCGGCAGCTTCTTCACAATGGCCTTTCTCTTGACCATTCTCATCACTCCCAACGCCAGTGTGACAGTTACAACGATGGGCAGACCCTCCGGTATCGCTGCCACTGCCAAGCTTACACCAATGGTAAACATCTCAAGGATAGCCTTACCTTGGATCCAGCCCAGCAGCATGATGATGCCGATAATGCAGAACGAATAGAAGGACAGCTGTGTACCTAAAATGTCCATGCTTCGCTGTAGTGGAGTCTTTGGCGCCTCCTCGGCCTGCATCATCGAGAAAACCTCCCCAAATTCACTGTTTTCTCCCGTATTCACTACGATTCCCTGTATCGCGCGACACGATAATGTAAGTTGATGATGACAGAGACGCAGACGTTCCCAAGTATTCCAAGTTTAGCTTGAGCAAAGCTCACCTTGCCGTTGCCGCAGCGCACCAGGGTGCCCATGAAGGCAATGTTACGTTTCGACGTCAACCCATTGGTCTTGAGCAGAGGCGCCGTCGACTTTTGCGCCGGCTCAGTCTCGCCGGTGAAGCTGCTCTCGTCAATCGCCAAGTCGATGGCCTCGAATATTCTGATGTCAGCAGGCACTCGGTCCCCAATATTTAAATACACTACATCACCAGGAACTAAATTACGCGCAAGAAACGTCTCTACGTGGCTCTCTCGCAAGCTGGAAGCAAAGTAAGATTGCGTCAGTAATGTGAAAGTACAAAAAGAAAATGAGTTTTGACTTTTACTCAAGAATTCATTTAAAATGCAAGACTTTTAAGACTTCATAGAAGTAAATTTTACAACGACATACTTATATCTTCTTCGTCAAAGGAAAGAAATATTCCCTAAAATTACAATATTTTTCTAGAATCTTACTTTTAAAGAATACTAAGGTGAAAAATATGCTAGCTCAAACTAAACCGATATTCATTACCATTGTGCATGCTAAATTACGTGTTAGTGAAGCGTCTAGCAAGAAGCACAAATCTATTTACCAGTGACATATCGGTGGTACCAATTTATTCAATTCTTCTAAAGATTTCTCTGATCGGTACTCTTGTACAAACGCAACTGTCACCACTATTATGATAGCCTACAAAGAAACATAACACATACAAGAGAGACATATCACAGAAGCCTTGAGTTAGCCTGTCGAAGATCTTTCAGACTAAACATGAACGTTCAAGTGCACTTACCACCGTAATACTGACCGCATCGTCAAATTGTTTCATACATACGCTGACAAACGCGGAGGCAAGTAGGAGAAGAATCAATGGATTCTTGAACTAAAAAAGTATACAAATTCAACTAACAAATCTCTAATTACATTTGCAATGATCATTCTACTCATTAAGTTCACTCATTTAATCACTCTCTAAGTGAATAAGCGGAAAATAAGCCCAGAACTCACCTGTTCGATATACTTCATCCATGGTGGATCTTCCTCCTTCACAGTGAATTCGTTAAAACCTGTCAACTGCCTCCTATGATCAGCTTCTTGCCACTTAAGTCCTGTTCGCACATCGACGTGCAATCTGGCCGCAATCTCCTCTGCTCCAAGGCTGGCTGCTTCGGCAGTTGTCAACCACATCTTAGCGTCGTGCTGTTGATGCTTAAAAAAACCATTGTCACATTATACTACCTGCTTGCTATCTCGTGTTAATAAATACATTTCCCGCGCGCAACATTATACATTAGAGTTTAGATTTTACATTAAACACGTTTGATTAAATACTTAAATAAAGTTAAAGCTTAACACTCGAGATATGTTAATAGCTTCTCAAGCAACGTGGAACAATATAACAATGAGTCATTTGTTTTAATTACAATTCATCGTACAGACACGTGTTGCGATATACTTGTTATCTCTGTTCTGTTGTCTCCGCAGTGCTAAATTGCTAAATGCCTTGCGCTATCTCTCGCGACCGCGTGAGGAATGTGCGAGTGCCGACACACGCCGCGCTGTCAAAATCCACATGTTCAAGAAGCACACACTTAGCGATAACAGTGATGTCAAGAGCGAGAGATTTATGACTCGGTCGAAATCAACTTCGATTTGATCGAGTGTCGAGTGTGCAATTTTCTTTTTGTAATAAAATAACCATTCCGACGAATACTAACCTCACACGACAACGGCGGCTCTATTAAAATCCTCTAATCAATCTTCCGCTTCATTTCCGAGTCGACACTGAGTTCGCGCGTGCGGATCGGAATATCGAAGCAGAGGTCGACAAAAAAGCGGCATGTCACATAGCGAGGAAAACGATCACGCAGTAATGCGATCGCGAGCGATCATCCGCGCTAAGGGGATCACACTGGAAACCGGAATGAATCACGGCATCGCGCGGTGTCGCACGTTGCGATGCGAGTTACACGTACGCTCTTCGCGTACGCTTGTGTGCGTCTTCGGTTGCGCGTGTTGTCTTCGGTCCGGACAAGGTTATTGAGATATTCAAATATGTGAAATTAACACGTTTACTAGTTGATTCCACCGTTACTGTAATCGTTGATGCTCGCTTTATAGCACAGCTGTAGATTTGCTATTTAGTTATTAATTAAATGCACGAATTACGTATAAGAAGAAAAAATTGATACTTGCGCAACAATCGTACTTTGGTGAATAATTTAAAAAAGGAAACATTCATAATATATAGTTAAATGTAAGTAGATATCTCGTTGATCTTCTGAATATCCATATTATGTTATTTATCTAAATCTTTGATTTGCTAATACTACATATACTTTATTTAAATAGTTTTTTAAAGAGCTATATTTATTGCTGTTGGAATATTTTATATATATTACGTCTCTTGCACATTTTTATGTATTATATAACATTTCGTTAAGATTAGATTGTCCGCTCTTGGCAATACTTCCGTTCTCATTTATTGCTCTTTTATTGATATATAGCAATAAAGTTTATAAATTTTTATTACAATAATTTAATGTATAATTGGTCTGCTTTTAACTTTTATTTGTTTTTAATAACTAAATATCTTATATTTATGCAATTTTTAATCTAGTTATTTTTTACATCTTTGATGTATGCCTCTGAAGTGTACATATTAAATTATGTTTTATAAAAATATATAATATGAGCTTTCTAATTTTTATGTTTCCAGATTATTCATAAACTTATATTCATAGACACGTCCCATGAGAGAAGCTGACACAGACATTAAAAAGAGAGAACAATAGCGTAAGTCACTGTGTCTCTTTCCAACACGTCAGTTTATATCTATGATAGCGGCTCGTAAAACGTGTGTAAACGTAAAATACAGTTAAACATAAAGTTAAAACGTAAAATTTTTTTTTAAATGGTTAAGTTTTGCTGTATATGTGAACTACAATCAGGAATGATTGAGTATATTTCTTTTCACAGGCAAGTAATTTGAAAAATTCTATGATACTTTATTTGAGTACATATATTTTATCAACTATAATTTGTGGTCAAATGAATAAGTGATTTAATTTCTGCTGTAAAAGCATATTTTTACTAATGAAGTTTTCAGAATTCCCGAAAAAGAAGAAATAAAGGCAAGATGGTTCACAAATATAGGCCGCGAAGTCGGTAAATGCAGTACAGTTTGCAGTAAGCATTTTAAACAAACAGATTTTTATTATAAAAAACTTGGAGTATAATAAAAAAAAACTTATTATGACAAGATTCCTAAAACCTACAGCTATTCCATCTTTGTCACTTATTCAGTCTGACAGGTATACATATTTTAAATATCAACATTTTCTGTGTCAAGATTCAAAAATTAATACAGATTGTTTTGTCACATGCCAGTAAAAATGATGTAAAAATTGAAATTGAATGCGACAACTCGTTACAGAGTGTCTCTGAAACAAAGAATTGCAATGACTTTGCAAGTGCAAAAAATCTGACAGATATAGCTAACAGATTTGATGAAAACATTGAATGTAGTGGAATTAGTAATGCAGAAAATACAAAAAATAATGAAGTAACCGAAACATCAACATTAAAAAGGTTAATTTCTATACGTAGTATTAAAAGGAATTTTTGTATAATAACTTGTAACGTAAAAAATATTCTAATACTATTAAATTATTATTATTTATTATTATTTTACGTTTATAACATTACGTTAATCTCCAATTTGTTACAATTTAGTTTTCAAAATGTGAAAATTGAAATTGAATGCGACAACTCGTTACAGAGTGTCTCTGAAACGAAGAATTGTAATAACTTTGCAAGTGAAAAAAATCGGACAGATACAGCTAACAGATTTGATGAAAACATTGAAATCGTTGTATCATCAAATGACTCAGAATGTAGTGGAATTAGTAATGCAGAAAATACAAAAAATAATGAAGTAACCGAAACATCAACATTAAAAAGGTTAATTTCTATACGTAGTATTAAAAGAAATTTTTGTATAATAATTTGTAACGTAAAGAATATTCTAATGCTATTAAATTATTAAATTATTATTATTATTTTACGTTTATAACATTACGTTAATCTCCAATTTTTTACAATTTAGTTTTTAAAATTGTAAAGCAATCGCACTAAATATTTTAAATGTTTTTAGGACCGCAGACGAGCCTGTTAAGGGCGCAAAGTCTTTTTGTAATCCACAATATGTAAGAGATTTACAAAGAGAAAATTTTACTTCTGATAAAAGCTGGAAAGTTGTCAACAAATTTGTGCATAAGTCAAGAAAACAAAAAAAAATTTTATATCTAAAAGTTAATCGCCTACGTAAGAAAATAGAAATTTTGCAAGCAATTATTGGCAAGCAATTATTGGCAAGCAATTATTAGATCACTCGAAATAAAATGGACTACACGGAGAAAATTTTATATCCAAAATTACTATGTACAGTAGTAGCTGCGGACCGTGAAGGAATTATAAAAATGTTTACTATGTGTTTCACATATAAAAATTTTTGGTCCGCGATTACTGCCGTACATAGTAATTTTTGATATAAAATTTTCTCCGTATACTTTCAAACAAAAATTTTATTTTTTTATATCATATTTAGTTAGTATGTAATAAAATATATCTCAAATTCTAAGAAATAAATGATTTTTTATATTTAAAATAACAATAGATCACTTATTTTTACATAAAAAAGCATTGCAAACTTTAAATAGCTGAACTGGAAACCTTTTTTTTTGCGAGTACCGCAAGGTTTCGAGAGTCCAAATTGGGTTTCACTCAATAAGGATTTTATTTTGTTTAAAAATATACGTAAGGTGTCAGTGTGGGGTTAAAAAAATTGATTAAGTTGTGCTTTAACTTTTATAAAAACACTTCGAAATAAGCCGGACAAGAGATAAAAAAATTCACATTTTTAGTCGGTCACTTTCCCTCATCTCATATTATTATAAAATAATATTTTATAAATAATATATACCCAATTGATTTTTTATAAAATTGAAGATGAAGAATTGCTGATGAATTAGAGCTAATTGGTGTCAGTACTATTTCTTCTTTATTATCACGCCTTATCAGGACCATCTTGCTAGGCGTACTTTTATAATACTCAAATCTTCTTATGTCAATTTATAATATGCGCAATGTGCACAAAAGAATACTGGTATCACGACATATTTATAAATAATATATACAATTTTAAGTTTAATTTTATTAATTTTATTTTTATTTTTAATTTTATTATTTTAATTTTAAGCTTTATCCAAACAGTGTACATGAAATGTCGATATTTTCAATGATCGATATCGTACTTGATTTCTCTAAAAATTATAGGATGCTCCAAACTTTTGAACGTTAGTGTATGTACGTGTTCTGGGAAAGCTTTCTACATTAGCGATTCTCAAACTACACATGCTTCAACATATGTGAATTCCACGAAGAGAAATACACCGTAACGAGTACAGCGAAATAAATAGACTTATCTACATATGTGATCAATGAAACATCTATGTAGGTGCGATATTTATGTTTCGCTACGATTTATCACCAATTTTGTATTCATGTTATTAGTTTACATGTACACGTTTCAATTACTTCAATTATGGTTTTATAACTGCATTTTCTCTGCATTTAAAACAAAACGAGCGTGCGTTGCGCTCATTAAATAAACGAGCCGTAGAAAGTGTTAATTAAGACAGGCAAGTTTAATAGCGTACATGCCGCGTACAAGGTTGAATCAAAGTACTTCCGCTTCGTTTTTAAAAGCTAAATATTTTTTATATAAATTTAATAGTTTTTTTCCGCACAATCACCACGTCTTTTTTCATACACTTCTTTCAACGATTCAACACGATTCCTTTCCATTCCTCGAAGAAAAAAATTACTCGCTTGTGCATTGCAACATTGAGCAAGCAAATCCTTCATGTAGTTCACACTTGACGTTATTAGATTATCATGTATTTAAAAAAAAACTATGGACTACGTAAAATTTTTTTAATAATGAGGAATTAAAAGGCTGGTGGAAGAATTATCTTGTTAAACATGGTGATTATACATAAAATTCCACTATTTTGGATTTCCAGAAATACTTATTTTTTAATCACGATTTTATGAAAATTTTTTATTAACTCTTGTATTTTAGACGACATACATGAGTCATTCGTATTCCTAGCTAACTTATAATCGTATTCAAGTGCTAAAGAAATCTTGAAAAAATGTGCACGTCTTCAAGGCGCTTCAAAGATTACTACATGCTTAAAGAATTAAATAAAGAAAAGACTGAAGCAAGTGGAAAGATTAAAAAATTAAAGCCATTTGAAATAACGCCGAATCACGAGTGGCCCGCATGTGCCATTTCACGATTAATGATGTTGCCTGAACGGGTTTTCGAAATGTAGGCCAATAGAAGCAGGTTATTCGCTGCTGCAAGTGACACTCGGTATTATGCAGGTGCTATTATTTATAATCTATTAGCAATGCTCTCATTTTCATGTCCTTGCTCGTTGTACGCGATTCGCTTATACAAGCAATGTGTGTTATCTAATTGTTTCCGGTTCCGGTTATTCAATTACGATCATTTACTCGCATTCCATTGAAAATCGAAATAAAAATGTTGCCAAATAATTAAAATCGATTATAATACTGACACAACGAATGCAACACGATGAATGATAAGAAAGGAATGGAAGGAGCAGCGTTTATCGAACTCTGTTGGATCAATATCAAAACATTCGGGCACACGTGCTACTTCGGCGTACTTTGACCTCTCGAATATCCACTGCAGCAACATTGTTCAACATTGTTAAATGTATAAATTAAACTAAAATTATTCGAATAGTCGAAATTTCAATTTAATATATTTAAAAATATGAAGAAATAACATCCTTAAATATTCCCATTGCAAGAACTATCCGACGATATTGTTAAACGTTAAAAAATTAAGAATAAAACTATACGATCCACATTGTTTCTCTTTCATAGCTGCTCCTTTCATACGCAAATGAGGAAAAATTTGCCCGATTATATTTACGCTTAGAGCCGCGAAACGTCTCGATTCGCCGCCACTGGGGCTCACCTCGTTTAACGTCGCATTCTCATCGTCGCACTCCTTGTCGTCGTCGTCGCTCAAGTCGATGTCGAGGCCGGCGGACTGCAAGGCTTTTTTCTCGACGGAGCATCTCATCGCCCGGTCGCTGGTGTATCTCATCGCGGGCAAGGGTTGCTACCCTTCGGACCAGCGCCGCTGCCACCCAGAGCTTTTCCCAGAGATGAAGGTGGCACGGCGACGCGAAACAGGAAGATCCAACGAGGCCCCTGGCAGACGGGAAGCACCACCAGCTGACCCGACGCACCGCCGAAATCGCGCGCTATCGATTCGCGACCCTCTCCTCTCCCCTCTAGTTCGGTTCGCCAGGGAGAACGGGAACGGTGCGGCGCATCGTCTTCTTCCACCTGCACGAAACGAAATAGCAGAATAAGCGTTTTCAGCAGCACCCGTCGCCCTCCAATCCCCTGTTTTATTCAGAGCGATTTCTCTAGTCACGCGAAGGCTGCAGGAAACGATCTCGCGAGGCTGCCCGGCTTCGCGTAAATTTTTATAGCAAACTCGGCGCGTTCCTCCACTGACCGACAATGCGACAGTGTCGTATCTTTTTCCGTCGGTCATTTGCATTTTATCCGTCCTGGCAAATGAATTGGCCGTTGTCCCGGATCGACTACGAACCATCGTCTACAGTGCATAATTAATTAGAAATCGATTTTTTCTCTCCATCAAATAAAGATACTTCGCAAGTTGTAGATAATTAAGAGTGAAAACAGAATAAAAATAAAATTTCACATTTGTTTTTCACTTTACTCTTTTCTAACATTTAACGCGCAATGCCTCTTTGATCTTGATCGCTTCTGCGACATAATAATTATTTCTCAGAATTCTCGGTAGAAGCTGTAGTTAAGTTTTCTCGATACACAAGTGTTTGTGCCAAGCATTTATAAAGATGTCAAAAGTCTTCGCGTCTTGAATCATTTTTCATTTAAAAATCTATTGAATTCTTTAACCAAACATAAATCAAATAGTTCGGACTGATAATTCTAAAGTTACAAATAAGCAAAAATAAAGACAATAGGGGATTCAATATTTAAAAAATTAGCATTTTTACTTTTCTCTAAAATCGAACGTAAAATCTATCGCAATACCGACATTTATGTAACGTAATAATTTATCATAATTTTTTATCAAAGTTAATTTGTATCCCTGATGCAAAGATTACATAACGCGTATAATTATTGTCGCTAGGCACGTGACGATAAATGCTTTAAGCTAAAGATTCCAATCAAGCTTGATCCGTTCCTGCTGTCCACACGCGTAATATTGAAATTAAACACTGGCAGGGATATACCGAGATATTTTAGGCGACAAAGAGATTAAAAGCTTTTGTCAAGAGTAATTTTGTGCCGGGGGATGCACGAGTCATCCAAAGGCATACATTTTTTTCTCTAGAATTTTCTTTGAGAATCAAATAATTGAGGAATAACAGAATGATCATGATATCAATTTAGTAAAACAGAGATCACCCAAGAATTACATCGGTTTAGCAGTTTAATTAAAAACATTTGTACGTATGCCAAAATACGAATCCTTGGAAAACTTGTGAATCCTTGGGCGCGTAATAACAATGAAAATGTTGGTCCTTGGGGACATCTTGATAATCCATGAAAGGCAAGGACACGTTCGAAATGTTTGAGCATATGCTATCGATCATCGTAACTGATGTCGTGCTCACCAATGTATATATGGCATGCCAAACAGCTGTTTTATTCATTTAAACTGAAACTGAAATATTTGTGATTGAAATATATTGCTTTAAAAAGTTCGTAACTGATAAAATGCTTCAAAAAGCATTCGTAGTTGATGAAATTTTCCATTGTAGCACCTTCATTTTTACACGTTTCTTTTGCTGAATATTTTTTCTATGTATAGAAAATTCCATCGATTAAAATATAGTCTGCAACTTGTGCAAGAAAATTTATGACGTAGATAAATAATCCTGAATAATATTGGCAAAAAGTCAAATATATACATTAATTAAACAATCATCGTTTTTATAAATACTTTTATCTAAAGTTTTAACAGGCGATAATACTTTTAAAATAGATTAATAACTTCAATAGTTTTTGCATGAAGAATTCAAAGTCAATTTTCCCTCGGAGCTATACGATATGTCAGACATTATAGTGCAGATATCTTTTTTAACAGTGAGTCATTATGTTATCTTAAAATTATACCAGATAAATGTTTATATAATGCGAAACGAGGAACTGTGGAAGCAGTTGAGTTTTCACTTATCGGCGTTTACTGTTGCATATAGATAATGAAATGCAACAGAAACAGCGCCATGATGCGTCGTTTAAATTATATAAATTAATAAATTTTGATCGATACCGCCTTTTTAATCTTGTGAAAAAATCATTATTTGATAATGCAAAGCTCGTAATAAGTTCTACTGATGCAACTCTAAAGAAAACAATGACCTCAACGATGATCGTGTGGATCCACGCGATGAATATGTCAGTTTGATTGCTCGATTAGGGCTCTACATCGCTGCATCGCTACACTGCAGTCGCGCGTTGCGTGCAAAAACTTTAAGACATAATAAGCGAAAACAAATATAAATTTGTTTGCTTTATAATTTGCTTTATAAAAAGCAAAAAGTGTTCAATTGCACGTATCAAAGTTATTCAAAGTCCTTTGAGAAATGTGTTGAAAAAATTCTCTACTAAAATTTATAAAAATTTACAAAATGACAATAGCTTTTAAAAGCTAAGAATAAATTAAAAAATACTTTGATTCCTTCTGTATATTGCGATGTACGTTCTCTATATTTAGCTGAATATAAAATGCGATTAAAAGATTTAATTAGCAGCTGCGCAGTTAAGAACTTTGAAGAAGTCTCAAGATTTTCGACGTCGACTACCGGACAGTCGTCAATTAGTTGCTGCAATAAATTCATCATCCGACAATTGCAATATCAGACCGATTAATAACTCTCGCTGTACTTTAAACTGGTTTCTTTTCAAATTGCAATATGTTGACCGTAATAAAATAAGACGATAACAGATAATGTAATTAAATATAAACAACGTAAACCGACAAAATTAGATCTCATTTTTCCCTTTAGCTATAAATAAGCGTAAAATGGTTCAGAAAAGAGAGAGAGAGAGGAAAAAAGAAAATTGTGCGGCGAGACGTGATTAAAACCAAAAACAGAACAATTTTTACTCGTACGCCAGATACAACGAACGCTTTCTAAAAGCTTCGAACCTGATTAGAAAACCTGGATGACTACACGCGGACAATCACGCAAGCCGGCAAGTCGCGACACATATCTCTAGAGTGCGATTACGCGTTTCTCTCTCTCTCTCTCTCTCCTTTCTGTGAGGTAAAAATCAATAACTCGGTCGCAGCGCATATACGCATATATGTGTCGCACGATAATCTATGAAAAAAGCTAAAAATGCGCGCTACTTATACAAGTACCAACCGTGTGAATATTTATGTGTCGCCGGCTTGTATTTCGCAGGAAAGTCCTGTAGAAGTTCAGCACGGCGCGGGTTCAATGTAAATTCAAACGCGAACGTACTTCACAATGTTCTTTGCGCGCGAGCAGGAACGAACTGAATGCCGTGCAATATACGTCGATCGCATGCACCACACAAATTCGGTCGCGATCCACTTTCGTCGCTCGTCGTCCGAGCACTCGTCCGCGCTCGTCGTCGCCAACCGCCGCCGCTGCTTGCGGACGGAAGGTCGATCGACCGGACGAGACGAGACGAGCCTGGTGCGAGACGAACTCGTTCAACAAGCAGCGCCACTCTGATAGACAGATAAACAGAAAATATTGATAATTTTCATTAGAAAAGTTTCAGAAGAATATTTCAGATAAAGAGATTTGTTTCCTCAAAAATATAAAGCAATATTTAAAAGTGCGATATATCTTTTTATCATTTAAAAATGCTTCGAATATTAAGTGTTATCTTAATATATACACGTTATACATTTGAAGCGTAAACAAACATGATGCATTGAAGGGTAAAAATTGCAAGTTTCGTATGCTAAATGCGATGGTGTTCTGCATTTTGTATCAAATCAATTTCCTGAGATCTAAAAGTTTTTTTACTTATAATAAAAACAAATTTAGTATTCAATCTTACGATAAATTTGAATCTGCAAATGAGATAAAGAAAATATATTTAAATTACAATCGATGGCAGTTCTAATAGCAATCTGAATTCACGACTGTAAAGCATGGCACACATAGGTACGCATAACCTTAATTTCTAATACCTGAAAAAATTATGAAATATGTGAAAATAATCATCTCCACCTTTTTCACGCGTCATTCCTTTCACACGTCTTCACTTCTTTACATACACCTGTTAGAGAGCGCAGTGCGTACGCAGATATTACATAAATTACATGCTGATAAGAACTTGTTGAATGATCATAACATAAATGGCTTCCGATGCACTTCTGCACTCAAATCGTCACATTCAATGTCATTATGTATGATTCACACGCGACCGTCATTCAAGATACAATATTCGATATCCAATTAAAAAATGTTTTCTCTAGGAACTAATATGGCGGTGATGAAATCTCTAAACACTACATTATTCCTATTGGATATAGGATTTCAAATAACAGCGACAGTGTGAATTCAGCATTAAACCGCGCATGCGCGACGGGGCTGGGTTTGTGGTTTGTTTGAAAGCACGGTCGCAGGGTTACCGCAGGTTTCTCATCGCTGATGCCGAGGGGATTGTCGACGGAAAGTGCATCGATATGCGAGAAAACGATCTGCCCATCGCCGGAGGAGCTGAGCGTGATAACCGACAATGTCAAATGCGAGCAGTGTGGGCTCGTTTTCACAAACGAGTCACGCTATCGACTGCACGATCTCAAAGTTCATCAGCGCAAGAAGCTGGATAAGATCACGAAGGAGAATGTGCGTTATCACTGCCCGGTGCAGTCGTGCGTCTACGCCGTCAATTCTCAGAGATACTTCAGCACTATGAAGTACCTGAAGCAAGTGAGTATAAGAAATGCAGATTAATGTAAAAAAAAGTACTAATCTTTCAAGGTTGCTCTTTGCTGAAATTTCATGATTGTGTCATAATGACATTGCATCATTCTTCCAGCATTATTTGAAAGTGCACGCCGAGAAGAATTATCCTTGTAATCATTGCAGTAAGAGTTTCTCCACGAAATCTGCCAAGGAGGGACACATGAGAGTCTGCGGTGTAGAGTTCACGTGCACCTGCTCAAAGACTTACACTACGTATGAAGCATTGCTTACACATGCAAAGCGATCGTCACATGCTATAACGAAGAAAAATCAAAATTCTTTGAAGTAGGTTTCCATTTATATTACACATTTTCTTGTTTACTATTTTGGTCTCAAGTGATAGAAAATTGTACTAGTATATTTGTAATTTCTTTTTGCAGGCATACCAATTCCATGACAATACGGATTGTTTTACCGACTAGCATTGCAAAGAAACCTCTCACAATACTTCCTAATCTAGATAAGTCAGAGAAAAGTAACGAAAGCACTAGCACTGTGATAAACAATACATGTGACGTTGGTGTGCAGACGGATGATTGCAGAAAAAGTAAAAAGATATTGAACCTCAACAACAACAACAACAATCTGCACTGCAGCGCGAGACGTCGAATGTCCAAGCAAACGCAGACGAGCAGCTTCTCGAATAAGAAGAGCTTGAAAAAATCCATGGAGACGCAAACGATGCAAGTGCCGCGAGCGATCAGAGACTCGAAGGCGCATAAACGCGTGGGAAGCTGTCGCGCGCTATCGAAACAATCGGAGCACGCGTTGCTCAAGGAGGATCTCAATCTCGGCGACAATTTCGCGTCGACCAATTTATTCCCGGCCAGTCCGCTGCCACTTCGTCACGACGTAGGTCTGCAGGACTTCTGGGAGAAGAACACTTCCGGCACGCAGACGATACCTGAGAAAGACATGTTTGAGGCGTTCAACGACAGCGTGACGCAGACAGAATTCGACACGTTCTACGGACACAGCCACAATCCTATGATCAGTGCGTGCCGAAGAACTCGGTGGCGTTGATGACGTTGCCGTACGCGGAAGACACATCGGCGGGCGTCGGTGGATATTCTTACGGTTCGACGGACGGCATGTCCGTGGCGGATCCCATGCTGACCGCCGCCAAGACGTTCGACGACAGATTCAGCAGCATTGAAACGCAAACCGAGCAAGCGTTTTCACCGTCGTACTTCTACCCCGAATCACTGTCGAGGTCGTTCGCGTTGAGCTCGAATATCGAAACGCAGACCACGAGCGATTTGGACAATATGGAACAACTGCTGTACAGCAACACGTACACGCAGACCTGCAACGAGATGCTGTCTTCCGAATTGGGACTGTCGAACATACAGACGCAGACTGCCTGGTCACACGACGACACCACAGTTTCCACCGAGACTCAAACGAAGTTCGAGATCTGCGAAACCGGTTGCAACATATCCATGGGATCCTGCAGATCCTGGCTCAACACACAGATTAGTCACACTGAAACGCAAACCGATCTGCTTAGCTTTTTCGAAGAACTTCGATGAGTTAAGTATGCCTTTTAGGGTATTTGGAAGAATTTAAAACTGAAATTTTCAAAGAACTTTTTTCTGTCTAAAAAAATTAGGGAACTTATCTTTTTCAAACTTAACATTTGATACTTGAATGACTCTATAATTCTTTCTTCATGAATACGAGCACACACTGAGAAGCTTGTATCACTTTTGCCTAAAAATTTAATCGAAAATATTCTTTAAAAAATTAAAGAATTTTCAGAGATTTTTCTAAAATTTAAATAGACACTTTTCTATTGTCGTAAACGTTCGCCAATCAATTCTCGTCATACCTGCTTTATGTTTAATTTCGATTTTTAGTGCGTATTTTGATCCACACTATATTTTCCAATGCTTGTATCATGAACACAGAGTTATTTTTCAACAGTTTGGTAATTCATTAATTTATTGTGTTTTACACGATATTCACGATCTTTTATTTCGCATTTTTTATCCATCATTCCGCTACAATACGTTAAAAAAATATCCATTTCAAATTTATGGTAGAATCGAAAAGTGCCTGATTTCTGGACATCTTTTAATGATCGAACACTCAAACTACTCGTGTCACTTAACTTTTTCATTTGAGGCTTATAACTATTTGAAGTGTCAAGTAAAAAAGTTGACAGCGAGCACCACGACCATTTGCCAAATGTGGTTCTATATATGTATACCTGCATATATGTACATATATACGTGTGCGTATTGTTTCTTTAATTTTTTCCAATACCAAAGTTTTTATATACACATATCGCACACGTTGGAGCGTAATCTGGCGTATACCTGCACATCCAATATCGAAAATAAGTATTGCACTGGCGATATATACACATTGTCATGATGCACTTAGCAATAAAATTATGGACTGGAAATCGGACTAAATGTACATCTGTTTCATATCTCTATTTAAAGCCTCGTGTGTACATGTCGTATACGCGGTAAAAGGGTCAGTATTTCTTTCGTTAAAAATATATTTTGTTTTACATCACATGCTGTACTTGCGCGCGGTGTACGCGAGCGATTGCTTTTAACGTCTGTATCGGTCGTGCGACAACGTCACGTGATATTCCGAGTACTTTTTGAATCCACATTTCTCGTCCACGTACAATATACAACTAAGAAAATATATTCCTTTTAATTGAGGAAAGTCGCAATTACGTCATCGGAGATGCATCTCTGTACGGTGCGTTGAATAGATTTTACAAACTGTTCACAAACAGAAATACAAAAATATAACGAATACTTCATAAATAATACGTGTTTATACATGCTCGAATTGTGTGAGATGATCTTGCGTTAGAATGTTTGGTATGAACGGAGGAATGAGAATTTGAAATACTGCGACGAGCGCAGGTAACAAGAAACGATCGGATGATGAATGTGTCTCATTACGTTTCGCAACGAAGCTGCACAAATGTGTTAAACTTGTCAAGGCAAGAATGAAGGGTTAACAATAGATGCGCAGCGAAATTGTGATTTGATGGAATATATGGAGAAGTGATAAAACGGGATACAGTGCGAAAATACGAATATATATATATATATATATATATTATATATATATATATTATATATATATATATATAATATAGAGAAAGAGAAAGAGAAAGAGAACGTTTTATTATACTGCAGGACCGGCAGCATTGTCCTCGTCGGAGTCGGGTAAAAAGTCTTTGGTCCAGTCTTCTATCCTGTCCATATTCTCGAGAGTCGATGCGAGGACTCTCAGATTGTCCACACCGGATATTAACTGCCTGTTACAAGAATGTACAAAACGTTTATTCCACATTATAGATTGTTTCATGTATTTTAGTGAATTAGATCATTTTTTTTTACCTGAGCGACACTTCAGCCGTCGATGCAGCCGTGAATAGATCACGAGCGAGTCTCTTGATCGTACGATTAGCGACATTAACGCCCGACTTGCTTTGTCCAGCCGCCGAGATACCTGCGCGCAATTCACTATTCTCCAGTCGTAGCAGGGATATCTCTGTCTGAATTAAGTAACGCGCAGACCATTATATTAGTTTTGTAGTTTGTCGTACTGTTCCACGTGCGCAAGCTATATTTACCGTTAAAGTTTTGATCTCCTTTTTCAACGACGTAACAGTGCTTTCGGCGTTGACTGCTCGCTTCTGCGAAATAAAAGTAACGTGTCATTTCACGATGATACGAGAGTAATCAGTCGAAATATTTCCAAAAGTTGCTTAATTGTTGAAAGAGATGTATTGAAAGACATGATAATTTAATAAAAACATTCGTAACTTTTGTAATATGCATTTTTTTGACTTTCCGGAAATTCTTTGATTACATAATACAATATTTAATATTTTCCAATTAAAAATTGCAGTTTATGATTTAGAACAGATATTTGTCTCTGTACTCACTGTACTTCGTTTTAAGTTATCTTCGACCTGCTCCATCGCCTTCTCCAAGTGGGCCGCCTCTTCGTGCTCGACCTCACGTTTAGCTAACAATTCTGCCTCCAGCGAACGAATTCTGCAATCAACGCATTACACACTGATCACATGAGTAAACCGGGATTCGAAGCGAGCTGTCATTACCTTTCCGCCTTCTCATTAATTTGCCTTCGAGCTACCTCCAACTGATGACGCAATCTTTCGTTTTCGAGCAAAAGCTGCAACATATAATTTTAGATTTTTGTCTTATCTCTTCATCCGTTATCTTTATTTATTAGATCTCCGAATTATAATAAATTTACCCTTCTTTCCGCGGATTCTGCTATGCCTGCGACAGGTTCTGGATCTGTGGACCTATTATGTATGGGGCCGTCGCTCAAGAAGTCCGGCAGGGATTTGTGAACGTTCGTTTCACTCACCGGCGGAGGGCCGTCCCGTGCAGTTGCATTTGCACTGGGATTGGATTCGGGAAGCGGTAACGGTAGATCAAATGGAAACTCTGCAAAAAAAAAAGATGACTCTTATCCTCTCGTAAACTTTGCAGAAATCGTATAATTTTGCATTCTCAATGCAGAAACAATCGGTGCCATTTTCAGTCGTAGCAATCGCCAACTATTTGTACATAAACGCTTTAGTTTCGTAGTTAAAAATATAAAATGATCGCTACTCATACTTTATTTTTCTGCAGAAACCCATCTTTGACCAAGCTGACATTGACTGTTCTCGCGTTAAGCTGCAGAATTTGGAATACGAAAAATACCTCTGTGCTCGGAGCGAGGAAGAAAGGACGCGTTTTCGTCCTGCCTGTCCTCGAATGTAGGCAGGTCCAAGTGATTCGCATTTGATGCGGCATGATTTCTGTGCGATGGCAGTCCCTTATGCAGCATACCGGTGAGATCGAACAATCGCAGATCATCGCATAGGGCGTCTGAATCGTTCTTCTTGGTCTCGTTTCGCAGTCGCGATTGCCGTTGCTCCACGCTGTTTAGCGCGAAGTCCGGCAGATTGTCCACATCGGGTAGCACCGGCTGGCTGGACTCATGGTTCAGATAGCACTGCTCGATAACCAAATGATCCTGTACAAAATCCGGCAGCTCCGTCGGATTACGGCTGGAATAGACACTGCCACTGGTGCTGTCTTTGTCGAGAACGTTGCCGGGACTCGACGTGGGCGACGTGTAGACCTTGGGTCGCGCGCCAGTATTGTGATAATTTGTCTGCTGCTGCGTGCCGTTCTTCAAAAAGGCTTTAAAACTAAAGGGATTGTTATCACGGCGCGATGATGCGTCTTGACCTGCAAAAAGATTCTTCTTAGTTTCGATCGCACGTGAAACAATTTGCAATTGTGTAAACGATATTATAATGACAATATATAGAGTGTCTAACAAAACTCGCAAATATCTTTTTCAGTAAGAAATTCTCTCATCAATTTGGAGTAAGTTTTTCCTCAATAAAATGCTGAAAATCATCATGGTTTATCACATCTTTCTTTTTAACTAAGTTTTAAATTGACATTTTTGTCAAATTTATGTACAATTAACACTAGAAAAATGGAATAAGATTTTTAATTCCTTTTCAAATTGATGGATATTTCTTAATGCCGTTGAATGGTTTGGTTACTAACATTGCAACATGAAGATGAAGATTCTAGTCTCTTTTTTAAGAGAGTATATATGTATATATAGCTCTATCTTCTTAATAAACTGAAAAATATGTTTCTGTTAGTTATCTATATAAAACTTCAATTCTCTTCTTTTTCCGATAACTTAAAACTCAGAGACTATTGATGCCTCAACATCTTCACTGAAAAATTGATCTTAAAACAGTTCGACAATCTGTATCATGAAAAGAACAACCTGCGAATTTTAGGAAACTCTGTACAAAGACGATGTATCCTTACCTAACGCCTGGTCGACGGCGTCGACGCGACTCCTGGTGAAACGGTCCGACGTCGGTGACGTTGGTGACGTCGGTGGATTGTTCTTGCACCCTTGAGTCCTAGTCATCCCCTCTTCGTCGGATGACGATGACAACGGATAGGCAATCTCACCATCCATCGGCGGTCCCATCGGAGGATTTCTACGGGCCGCAGCGCGGATGCGACTGGCAATGGCGGGTATCTTCTCGTCCTCGTCGGACGACGAGGACCACATGCTGCGCTTTGACAATGACAATCGAAGACACGGCTCTTCGGTCCTTGTCCTGCGGTTTGCCATAATTCGAGACGGTCGACGCCAGCGACCGAAGCATTCGTCGTTGTCGTCGCGCGCGCGACCGTTCGACCTCGTCGAAGAGAGGGTCGCGCGCTTACCTCACTCAACGACTGTCACCGTCCGTCCGCTTCCACGAACACTGCTGATCGCTGCTGATCGCGACGAGGTTAGGTTAGGTTAGCTCGGACCAACAGCAGGACAGCGCTCTTCGACATTGTGGATTTGTAAGTTTTATCTGTACTTTCTGCGCTTAAAGTGGGATAGTTGTGTATTTAGCCTTTAAAGAAGAAAAGAGAGAAGATACAAAAGGGTGAAAAAGTGTAACTAAGTCACCGAGTGTTTTTTAGCTTCGTCCCTCTCGCGTAACGTGCATAAAGTGTCCTGAAACGGATGTTCTATTAATGACATTCCTTGGCAAGCTAACGATAGATTAATTAGGAGCGTAAACGAGTCGTAAACGAGCGATTAACGATTCGTTTAAAGCTGATTGCAACGCATTTTGCAAGGCATCATTATTGGCGTTATTGAAAGTCTGCCAATTTAACTTATGAATTTGTTTCCTTATTATGTATATTATATTTATCTAGAATATATTCTATTATTTTTTTGTAATTATCATCTATTAATTTTAATTGTAGGTTATTTAAATCTACAATTAAAGACTTACAATGTTTAATACTTCAAATAAGTGGTGTTAAAGTATCACCAAAATATTAATTTTATATTTTTTCTTAAAAAAATGTATTCTTTTATTTAGCAATTGAAACACTATTTATATTTTATGTCGTTTAATTTTGACTTAAATAATATAATTATTTTTGTTTACAAAAAATAACATAAAAATCAAATACGAAGAAGGCTTGTCGACTGGCCCATTAGCTCAGTTGGTTAGAGCGTCGTGCTAATAACGCGAAGGTCGCGGGTTCGATCCCCTCATGGGCCAACTTTTTTTGTCTCTATTTAAAAATTTTATATTTAAGAAATTTTTTTTTACATTTATTTAAAATACAAATGTAATTATATTATAAGAAAATATACTTGATTTCTAACGTATTTGATTGGTAAATATTATTTTTTGTAGATAATTATTTCTATATTTTATTTTTTTTTATTTTTAATCCTATCTTAAAAAAAGCATGAAAGATTTTTATTGTTATCTTTTTTTCTTTATAATTAAAGAATAAACTGCGCGCGCTTAGCGTGTCTCATATTAACAAATTGTTAAAAGTTGACGTAATTTTTTTGTTTCATCGTCTGCTGATACTCATTCCGAACATGTAATTAAACGTAGAACACAAATATTCGTTTTCAATGGCATCTTTTCGGCCCAAGTTCCAAATTTCCAGTTTACTCACATCAAACGTAAGTTTTTGTCGATCTATTAATATTCATACAATAGATTTGTGTATGCATTAATCGTAATTTTTTTCAAAAGAACAAATATAACCTTTTCTTGTGGCAACAACCATGGCATTGCTTCCAGCCTACTTTATACTCGCAGAGAAATATTAACAAAGAACGTCGTCACAATTGTAAGAAATTAATATCAGCCTCAACAAGCGATCCTAAAAGTCGTGGTAAAATTTAATAAATGATTTATGGAACATTACGATGAAATTGAAAATTTTTTAAAATTTCTCTTTTAACGTAATTTTCTTGAAGTTTTAAAAGGACAGAAGAAGATGCGCTTCTTAAGTCTTCGAAGAACGTCATCGATGAAGATAAAAGATATGCCGAGTGTTATTTGCAAGGCGCAGAAATCTCCGAAGCAAAAGTTGACTCTCTGGGAATATATGTTTGGTTCAGATCGTAAGAAGTCCCGGGTGGATTCTTGCATTTGCCGTTTGGCCCATCGTCAGAGACAAGCGCATCGCGATGAGATAAAAGATCCGCGATTATGCGATCCACGTTATCAAAAGACAGCCGGAGATGTGTTGATATACACTGAGCCAGCTAGATCTTTGAAAGAATCGAAAAGGATGGAACCGCAGCCTAAACCACCACCAGCGTACAAAATGCCCAAAGCTGTGCTGTTGAACAAGATGATGACAGGAGATTTTAAAGTATCAAAGAATTTTTAATATTATTATCTAACCTTTTTCCAAGGTTAATAAGTTTATTTTTATATTTTTTTAAATAGAAATATTAACATTTTTGTTCCTTTTTAAGTAATATTTTTATAGACATTGTATTATAGTTTTATATTTTTAAAAGTGTATTTATTTTATAATTATTAGAAAAATGAAAATTATGAAGATAAAATAGTAACATCGACAGCACCCATTAAATCGTGCAAGGAGATAAAGCCACTCATGGCTGAAAAAATCGCCAAGCCTCAAGATGTTGCATCAAAGAATATTGATGAAAAATCGATATCTCGTCCAATATCGATACGAAAAAACACAGTTCGTAATTCCACAGTAAAAATATTACGTCAGGCAATGGCGCAGGAAAATCCACAAGGGCTTTCAAGAATGGAAAAATTGAAAACTCTAATGAGTGAAAAAATGGTTGAGCCATAGTGTGTGCGTCTTCGTAACATCTTGTTATGAATAATTCTAAGTAGCAAAAATTACAATAAATAAATGCAATTTTTCTCTTATACATAGTTATGAATAATGGAGATAATAAAATGTCTGCTTTATTTTCTTTTCAATAGAACATATATAAAATTTTTTCCTAATTTATAATTCAAAAACTATTGGCGACTCGATACTCTCACTGTACAAAGTTTGATCCGAGAATATGTTATTAAAGAGATATCCGCTTGTGTATTTATGTCAAGTATCGAAGGAAAAGAAGAGAGAAAAATGCAACAAAAAATAAATTTCCGTTATCAGCCGTATCAATGGCATGTGAGTTATGTGAGATAAGCGTATGCACCGTCAGATGGCTCAGCCGCGGCTGATCAGCGTGCTGTTGATTGTATGAGTTGGTCCGGCTCATAGTCCGTTCAGTTTGGCATTTTCCACGATTTATTATCATCCGCAAAGGAGAAGGATTTGCACGAATTGGGCGTAACAAGTGCGCGTTCACATGGTCAGCGAATAGAGAAGGAAACGATCTTTTCGTTGCTCTCCCCTCGCCGTCATTATCACTTTGACAAGGCCTCTCCCGATCGGACATAACCGCTGTATCGATCCGACACACCGCCCGCCCGCCTGCTGCTTCATGCAGCTAGCGTACGAGGTAAGAGGTTATGTCGGCTCTGTCATTCGAACAATCAACATTTAAAAAAAATATAATTTTTAATTCTCTTGCTGCCTAAAAATCTTTCTTTACCCTAAGTTAACCTTGAAGAGACACGTTATTACATCATATTTCTAAAACTGACAGTAAATGTTTTGATGTTTCTTTGTTGTAGGGTTATCGGAAAGTAAAAAAAAATTTGACCTTTTCGTGATATCTGCGACGTTTTTTTCAAGTGTGCAGCCGGCGACGAATTACATGTGCAATCTACGACAATCCTGATTCTTACGAAGGCGGGTAAAACGTGACCGAACACAGAAAAAGAAATGGAACACACTTTGACACGTGCGACAACAATTGCACACGAAACGCGCTGTCGCGGCTGCGGTCTTCTGGAGCGACCGAGCTCCGTCGCGCCGTAAGAAGAGATATAATGTCTCATCGAATGTCGTTGTCGCTCGGTTCTAACGCCGTGGGCTTCCTTAGCAGTGCCGACCACGAGGCGGACCACCAATGTCGCGCAGGGGAGCCGCCGCTGTTACCGCCGTCGCCGCCGCTTGCAGGTCAAAAAGACGCAGTCGGGAAAGAATCGGATCTGAGAGCGTATCGGAAGGAACGGAGTGCGCGCCCACCGATGCGCTTTTTGTCCCGTCAAGGGCGGGCGAGGTCGCTAAGAGAGACAGACGAATTCGGAAAAGCGATGGCTGGCACGAGACGACGAGCGGTAGGTGCGCCGACGTCGAAACGGTAGCCGACTTCGAGAAATGGTTGAGAACACGCAGTACAGAGCCGCCGATGCCGTCGAGCATGGACCTGGACACGGCCAAGGTGGTGGAAGGCGTGGACCGTTACTTAGGCGAGGAGATGCTGTCACACGGCTGCTTTCTGGGCAAGGACCCGTACGGTCTGTCCATCGACCTCGATCTGGCCGACGCCAAGAAGCTCAATCTTTCCTCCGGTTACGATCCGATACTACCGGATCTGACGCAGAGCGAGAACCGGCTGCTCGAGCCGCCGTGCGAGAAGGTCGTCGACGAATTCATGCTGCCGGAGTTCCAGTTGGACCATCTGGACCCGCTGGCGGCGCTCTCGCCGGACGACATGATGGTGGCCGGTGAGATTCTGCCGTCCACCAGCGCCCATCATCCGACGTTGAACGTAACGGAGAACCAGGAAGTCGAGCGAATTAGTTTGAAGACGGAAGTCGCGGAGCGGAATGACGAGGCGGATTGTGAAAAATGCACGCAGGTTGTCCTCGACGAGCTGCCGGCGGATTTGGAAGCTGTGGACGAGATCGTGAACGTCAAGTTGGAGGAGGAAGCCGCGGCGCAGGCCGCGGCAAATCCCTCGGAACTTTTCATCGCAACTCTGACGCCAATGGAGGAGGGCTCGTCGAGTTCTATGGTGAATTCCGCGGAAGCGGACGTTCAAGACACCATAATACACCAATTGAAGTCGAAGACCAGGACGAAGCTGGAGCCGCGTATCATTAAGAAGCGTCGACAGAGATTCGAGAAGCTCGACAACCCAATCAACGGCAAGAACTTCGCCGACGTGGCTGCGCAGGATGGCGTGATGGCTGTGGTCGCCATATCGACCGACAAGATCTCCAATACGACGCAAATTGTTATCAACACCGGCACGGAGAAGCAGATCTATCAGGGCAAAACCTCGGAGCTGATCGAGGCGACGGGCAACTTTCCGAAACTGCCCAAGATAGACACCACGTCCGCGGTCTGGAACGGTGCCGTCGAGTATGGTGTCGATAATAATCCGAGTAATCAGTACGAAATTGTTATATCCAACGCGTTGGAGGAACTAGGCATCACCGACGACAGTCTGCAGCCCGTGTGCATCACCGACCACGACAAGGTGTGGCTCTGTCCGCGAGATGGCTGCAACAGGCAGTTTGGCAGACTGTACACTTTGAAGGGTCACCTGTTAGCTCATTTCGGAATTAGGCCATTTAAAGTACGTTGAAAAATAATGACATATTTGTACTATGCAATTTTAATATCATCTTGTTTACGTGTTTAATATCTTTTCACAGTATTTTAAGATTTTTGGTCCGTTTATATTGAATTTTAATATCAAAAATTTTCACAATTTTTTTACACTATATTATCGGATGCGTAGCATACGAACAAACTAATTTATTTCAACTTATACTCAAGAATATTCAAATTTTTTAATATTCGATAGTCATTTAATCTTCTTGGATTTGCAATGTTAATCTCGTGATGCATAAAGATTTGCAAAAATAACAAGTGCAACAAATTTAATAGCAGAAAGATGACTTTGATAAATTTAAATTGAGTATCATCAAAGCATATTTTTAAAAATTATTTAGAAGAAAAAATAACAGATTTGATATATTAAGAAGATAAAAACAGAAATTAATATTAAATAGATCTTTTGCATGCTATTGCAAACTTTTAAAACTTATTCACGTTTTCCTTTATGATTATCTTCACCGGAAATACTTTTGCAGTGCGATTTCGAAGGCTGCACCTGGGCCTTTTATTCCGAGTTCAAGCTGAAGAGACACAAGGAGACGCATCTAAAGCGCAAGGATTACGTGTGCGAGGTGGAGGGCTGCAATCGCCGCTTCACTACCATTTACAATCTGTGGAGCCACACGAAGCTGCACAGTCGTCCGAACCGAATCGTCTGTCAGGTGCCGGACTGCGGCGAGAAGTTCCAAACGAAGCGAGCGCTGGAGCTGCATATGAAGTCGCACGATCAACGCCACGCGCCCTACGTGTGTCAGCACGAGGGCTGCGGCAAGCGTTACTACAGCAGTAACGCGCTGACGTCGCATCAACGTTCGCACAGCTACAAGGAGGTGGACATCAAGTGCTCGTGGCCGGGATGCGGCAAGGTGTTTGACAAGCCGTGCCGGCTGAAGGCACACACGCGCTCACACACCGGCTGCAAGCCGTACCACTGCACGTTCCAGGACTGCAAGTGGGCCTTCTCGTCGTCCAGCAAGCTCAAGCGCCACCAAAAGAAGCACACGAACGAACGCAAGTTCGTGTGCGACGCGCCGGGCTGCGGCAAGGCATTCATGCGCTCGGAGCATCTGAAGGAGCACCGGCTGACGCACACGGAAGGTCGTTACTTCCAGTGCTTCGTGTGCGAAGCCCGATTCTCCGCCAAGAGCAGCTTATACGTGCACATAAAGAAGCATCAGGCTAAGACCGAGGCGGGCGCGACCGACAGCGCGCCGGAGTGCACTTCCGGCGGTCAGAAGCGCGCGAAAACGAAGGAATCTCAATATTCGCGCGTGAAACCGATCGTCAGGCCGAAACCCAAGTCGACAGAGCTCGTGACGGCCGACGAGATCGCTGCGAAGGGGAACGATGCCGAGGAGCAGGATGTCCACGACGCCGGCGAGCGTTTCGAGAACCTAGATCAACTGAAATGGCTGTACCGTTGTCCGATCGAGGTGTGCGGGCACTTGATCAACGGCGAGGCGAGTCTGCGCGAGCACCTGCTGAAGACCCACGGCATACGATGTGGCGACTCGCTCGAGCCGCAGTTCTCAGACGCCGCCAATAACGTGGACTACATTCTATACACGGTGCGCGATTCGTCGTCGAACTCGCCGACCGAGGAGGAGCAGATGGTGATGGTGACTCCGTGCGACGCCGTCATACTCGGCACGACCTCGCCGTCGTCGAGCATGGACCGTTGCCTGCCGGAGCCGGAACCGCCGCCTTTCAACGCCCTGAAGAACTTGGAGCCGCTCGAAATCGACGCGCGCGCTGACAATCGAATCAAAGAGGCCGTGCTGGCGAAGAAGAATCAGAGATCGGCGAGGACGGATTTAACGTACACGGACTGGTACAGGTTGAAGATAAACGGTGCGCTCGGCATGGACTCGGTAGCGGCGGATACGTCGAACCTCGTACCAGACGTAGACGCGAGCAGTGATCTGAGTGAGGAGGGCGAGGGCGAGGAAGGTCTGTTGCTCACGGAGGAGCTGCCGTCGATGTACTATCAGGACGACGCGGCGGGCACGGAGTATCAGGTATTGTTGTTGGACTCGAGCCCGCTTGAGAGTGCCGGCAACTTACGTGGCCTCGAATAACCGTCGCGGTGGACGCGAGTGACGGACAATTTCTTCGACTGTTGCGACTTTTAAGTGATTTTTCGCGATGAATCGAGTGACTGTAGTGTGATCGTTCGGAACACACATGTGATGATAAATGATAATGTAGCTTAGAAGCGGCACGATCGTTCTGAACATGATAACGCGACGGCGATCCTTGTTACAATTGAAAACGTAGCTCTTAAATATGAAAATACGATCTGTGATCCAGGAGCTGGCCTCAGCCTGATTCATTTGTATTGTGCGGCTCGTAATCGCTTTAAATCGTTATTTTATTAATAAATCGTTAATATTTTTCATAAAAATCATCTATACTTTATTATCCAGCTGTAACACTGATATATCACGTCTACAAGCAATTTTACTATTTATCAACTTTTCCTCGGCACGTTTTAATTTCAATATTTACGTATACACATGCATATACGTCAAAATGCACAAGATCTCTCACACTTGTCAGTCGTGATACAATTTACATCATATCGCATTATACAAGATCCATGCAGTTTAATACCTTTCTTTGCGATAACGCAGAGGAATAAATCATATCGCTCGGCAATACACAATTATTTATCTATCACTACTTATTATAGTAAAAAAGACAATGGAATGTACAAAAGGTTAGACGCGTTAAAAGACGTCCATCTTTTTACGCTTTGCTCGCGCATTTATCTACATATATTAGCGATGAGCTAAATAGTTATTTTTCTATAACGGTTACAACGGTTATCGTTGCCCAGAAATAACTCATCATTTAAACAGTTATTTTATAACAGTTATTTGATACGATCTATTAAGATAAATTTGCAGAATATAATGCATATGCATAGAGAAACTACTTATCATATTTAATATAAAAAACGTCACATTATCATATTCTATATATTAAAAGCATAATTAGCTGGTTTCTTTATGATGCATATATAAATTATAGATTGAAGCGTATTGGAACATGCGACGCGAACAAACCTTTTATCTGTCATAAATTTGTTGAATGTGCCGATTAATTATTGGATAGGGAATTCCTAGAAAAATTTTTTTAGATTACATTCCGAAACGACGAATAGAATACGTACAGAGTTATAAAATAACTGGTATTAGAGAAAATTGATAATCAGTTACAACAGTGAGCTTTCGATAACAGTTACAAAATAACAGAGATGAAAATACCGCTCATCACTAATATACATGTGTTGCGTCAAAGAAAGTTGGAAGATGTTTTTAATTACTTCTATCAATTGATTTCGATAATTTTACAGGGCGTCTATAAATTAAAAAAAGATTAGACTAGGTAGGAACTCTCGCACGGTGAAACGCGTAAACGGATGTTGAGCTCTTAAACACATTTTGGTCTTCAAAATCGCGATGTTAACGTTAAATGTTATAAATCTTCACTTTTACAAATCGGGAATAACTTTACAATCGGAACATTCTCGTCGATATCGTTAATGATAATTATTGTTCTCTTTCACTAGACATTGCCGAAGACGGAATCCGCCGAATCACGCAAAAAATCTGCCTGATCGTATTACACATCACCCTGTTAACGTCCTATTAATACTTCACCGTTTCTGTGAGCACGCAAGCTAAGTGAGCACAATGGTCACTCGCAGGGGGGGGGGAGGGGGGAGAACTCTATTCAGAGGCATAGCTGTCAACAAGGCACGTTTCACCCTTCCTTGCCGAATACTAAGCTGCCTTAATGGTCTGCGCTCAAATTAAGAAAAAAAAAACACCATTCGAACGGAGACGATTGTCTAAATCTGTTCAAACATTCTGTCAACTAAGCCAAAAGCGAATTAAACCATTTCCGCTTGCTTTTCTGGAAGTGATTTGTCGTCCGTCTCGTTTGTCCGTTTTCGTTTTTTGAATCTCTCGTCGATCCTGCGGTAGATCCGATCCCTGGCGTACGCCAGCGTGCACGTGACGCAGTGGAGCAGCGTGACAAAAGTGAAACCGCCGACGCAGACGAGCGACGTTCGCTTGGGCTGCTTCCAGTCGAGTACCGCGTAAATGTAGTGGTTACCGTGCTTGTCGAGGCCGCCGGCGCTGTAGTAGATCACAGAGAAGATCACGTAGCACATGACGATCGACAGGCACCACCAGAAATTTCGCAGGCGAAACGGTATGCTGGTGACGAACAGGTCGATCAACATCAGTACGCTGTTGCACACGTGCATCATGATGTTGAGCGGGTCGAGAGCGTGGATCTTCGGATCGTACACGGTGACCCAGTAGCATACCGTCACGCCGATCGCCATGTTCGTGGTGACGACGTACAGGAACCAGTACAGCCGCTCGGTGAACTCGAGCCTGAGCAGGCAGGCATCGAAGCTCGTCACTTTCTGCAGGTACCAGCGCTTGAGCACGAGGTAAAGGCCGATCGACGCCTGCGTGAAGCCTAGCACCACGTCCCAATTCGTCAGGTAAATCAGCCACTTCTCGTACTGCTTCAGCGGATTGTAGCTGCCGAACTCGCCCACGGAGCAAACGAAGAAGCCGGCCCACACGTAAAAGATGATCCATCGATAGGTCACGTACCAGCTGGCTACGTGCGACTGGCACTTCGGTTCCGTCATCAGACGGGCCTGCGGCGGCTGTTGCTTGCCCGCCTGACGCCATCGGCGCCCGATCTCCTGGCACCAGAACTTGCTCACCATCGCGCGATGACCTGAAAGGATTGAAAATAAGTATATTTCTCGAAGAAAAAATTTCCAGCGTATATATTTTAATTAACGCGCTTTTTAGATATCTCGAATCACGAATTTAGAAAGAAAGATCAAACTCTTGGTTTTAGAAATTGAACTTACTTTCCGAAAAAAAAAAAAATTTAAACAAAAACTAAAAAAATATTTGAGTGCAGAAGGACTCTGTTCTTCTTTCAGTTCTTTCAGTTTTCGATTTCTCTGTCAGGTTGAAAGATAGTATTCTCGCTTTTTGCGAGAAGAAAATCTCGAGAGCAAGATTGAAAAATAACAGAGAACCGCACGGTTGTACCGACTCGCGACAAGTGATGAGGAGGCGGGCGATCGTACCTGGAAACGTAAACAACAATAGCAACGTACCAATCACGCTATCCGGAGAGGAATGTAACCTGACCATTAATGTCTTAATAAATATTATTACATAATAAAAGCATAGCCGCGCATTACTTCGTTTCGTTCGGATGAGCGAGCGCGCCTGCGATGGAATTTCCGCTATAATCGAACAAAAAAGTTTTTTCTTAAATTTATCGAATTTTGTAAAGAATGTATTAAGTAATTTTTTTTAATACATTGCTGAATATTTGTGTGATATTCTATCAAATTTTATGCATTCAAAAATTAAATTTTTTACAAAGTTTTTCATACAAAAAAATCTTAAAATTTACATGCATTACAGACTCCGACACGGAAAAATCTAATTAGGCATCTAACAAGGATCATAAAATATTGATTAAATTACTAATTAAAACATCGATCTCCGTTTTTCACAAAAGTTCCTTTCACACTCGTATACTTTCGAATTAAATCCATTATTACAGCGAATCCTTCAAATATTCGATATAACAAAACTCACATTTCAAGATAATCTCGATTTCGTAAAATACTGAAATTTTTTTAATCAGTATAATCGCGCAACTTACATAACGCGCACTGAAGGAGAAACAGCAGCAACCGTTTCAAGGACGGCAGTCCTGTGAATGAGAATACCATCTTCGAGAGAAAAAGAATTGCGGAAGAGACGACTGACAAGTGTATGCTTGAGGTTATCTAACCTAACCTAAGCTCCCAATCAGCTGTAGTGTCCAATATGCAACATCGCTCGATGAGGTGCGGCACACGAGCGCGCCAAGGCAAACGCCGTTTTAAATATCGAATTACAAGGCGCGACAGTATTAGAAATGTAATATATTATTATTCATAATTTTATATAATGGATAAAAATGTTAATTTAGATTGAGCAGTGCGGACAGTTTGAAACTTATAATCAAATGTCAAATAGTTCACTTTGAAATTATATTTGAAACATAATTTAATAATATATATCTAATACATATTTATCTTATTTGCGTTAATGTGAATTTATTTGCAGATATCTACTCAATGTCATAAATACGTTTTACATATGTTTTTGCTATATTTCCGCTTCATTTCCATTAATAAATCCATTAAAATAAATCTATATATTCCACTTTTTCTCTTAAATATTTTATAAATGGATTTTACGAATTGTCCCCAATTATTAAAATTTTATTCAATTTTATATATTAAAACATTTTTTATTTTGTATGTATATTTCATTTCTTCAAATGTTTTTTTCTTATATGAAATTATAGAAAAATTTCTTGAAAGATATTTTGAACTTTTCCATAAATTATCGTCTAAAATAAACTTTAGTAATTAGTTTTATTTCCCTTTTTAAATGTTTCTTTAAAATGTTAATCAATTCAACATAACGAGACAGTAATAATGTTAAAATTTGAGAATAAAAATACAATCAGATATCTCTATTTTTAAATTAATGCTTCTAATATTAAGGTGATTCAAACGTTAATTAATTATCTTAAGAAATAATTCAAATTTATATCATTTGTACTTAGAGACTTCGTAAATATAATTTTACAATTTCAACGATATTGACTTATTAATTACTGAGATACTTGACTTTAAAGTAAGAATCTTTTACGCAGAGTCTTGTAGCAAGAGTCGATGTTACATTTAATTATGTACTGTAATAAAAAAACTATTCCTACAATTACAAATTATTATTAATGCTGATATAGAGCCAAGAGCAGAGCCTTTGTGCTCGAACCTTAGGTTTACGTTTGCTTTTAAGTTTAATACATTATTGTAAACATAAGGTTCGAGCAAAAAGGCCCTGTTCTTGGCTCTATATCAGCATTAATAATAATTTGGAATTTTTGTATCGATCTAAAGATCCAGTTATTGAATATTATTATTATAATTTTTTATTCCTACGATTTTGATAAAAAAACTGGTTAATAGTAAATAAATTCATAATAAAGTTTTTTAGAAATGAATTCATAATGAAGTTTTTTAGAAATGAATTCATAATAAAGTTTTTTAGAAAAAAAATTATTATTTACTTGTTAATCATTGAAATTTGGAATCCGAAGATTTTTATTACATCACTTAGTGACGAAGCGCTGGTATAATAATATGATAATGCATCGTTGTGACGAGGTTAATGCAAATACACGCTTTTTTAAACCATTTTCCGTTACGAATTACTCTTAGCCAATACTGTCACGCTCGAACTACCTTAACTGTTTTCCTAAGCTTCACTGATAAAACGTTAATCTTCTGCAGTTTCCAGTGATTTCGTAACGATTGCAACATACATAGAGCAAAATAATAATTACAAACATGATCAGAACCACATTATCCTTTTGCATATATTTTGCCATTAGAATAACAGTAGAAACCATGAAAATAATCATTGTTTCACTCTGAAAATTTAAAACTAGAGACATTCAACGGTATCAAATAATAGTTTCTAGCTGTCGAGTGAAAGAAGCTTGGAAAAAAACTTAAAATAATAATAAAACAAAATAGCAAGAAGTTTAGTTTTATAAGTGACGTTTCAATTAAATTCAGAATCCAGCAATGAAAATAAATAATCACAGACAAGCGATACGAAATATTCTACGATTACGCGAAGTTTCGGAAATAGACTCGCCTATCTTATCGAGGCTCAATGCACGGTCACGTATTCCGATGTTCGGATCGTGCCGAGAGTGGTGGATCTCGGCCTCCACCAGACACCGTCGCATCGCAGATAGCAGGCACTTTGAACTAATTAACCTCGCTAGTAGGCGCGATGCTGAGGTTCACACGATGCGACAAGAGAGATCGGCTGCAATTCGTATTTAGAGGCGGCGGCGAGGCGGGAGGTCGCCCCAGCGCGGTCAATCAGCCAATATTAATTCGCCGTTAATTTATCACAATCTTGGCCTATTACTACCGGTGCGCCAGATGCGCTAAAGCGAGCAGGTAGCCGGTTTTACAATTCTTAGGATTAATTTTTTTTAATTTTCGATATAAATTTTAGAAATTAATAAATAAAAATAAAATTTGGGAAATAGAAAAAAATATGGAGATTGAAAATACGCAAACTGAATGCAAACTGGATTTCTCATCATTTTTTCCTAATTTAACTATTTTTTTATTTAATTAATTTCTCTCTATTTTGAGATATTGTGGAACAATTCCGTGAATTCTTTACAATAATTCTATGTCATTTCCAAATTTTGCAAAATTAAGAAATCAATATTAAAGCACTTATATTCTTCATGTGTTATAACTACAATACAAGCAAAAAAATAGCAGCTAGAAAATTCTACTATAAAATAAATTCAATTTTTAGTGTAAAAAATTAAATTAATCGATTTGATAAAATTAAATTAAATCAACTTTTTTTAAGCTGTTTTTCTCAATTTTCAAAATGCAGTAACATGTTTAATTCGATTTCAAAAAATGTAAAAAAATGCAAGAAAAATCTTATCATATGTTATAATTTCTCTAATGATTTTTACATAAAGTTTTCGATGATACGAGAGATAAAATATATTTATTAAGATATCGTTGAATTGTTTGTTGAATTGATATTGAACGCAATAACTTTTGTTAATACTTTTGTTACTAACTTACCGGCATAATATAATATTCCATGTTTTCAACACAAAAAATTAGAAAAAAAAATAAATGGAAAAAAAATTATACGATTCTTAAAGTCGAAGAATAAGATTGAAAATTGCACAAAGTAAATTATCCTTAAATGTTTTTAATCATTACTTTTTAATAAATAACATAAAGGAAATTAAAAGACCAACAAGAATTCTTGATTTCGAAGAAATAAAGAAATTGACTAAAAATTTAAATATTTGTTATAAAATTTTGCCAATAATCACAAGAAAAAGCATATGTAATCGAAAGCGAATGTGTGAATAAAAGAGAAATTTTGTATCAATGACCTAGATTGTTCAACAAACAAGATTTACGATCAAGTTTACCTTGTCAATTTGCATTTCCTTTTCGTCACTTCAAAAGTTCTCCGAACTACGTGTTCTCACGATTGGGACCGTCAGAAGTGTCACATTTCATAAAATTCACAATTTTTCTGTTCGTAAATCTGGAAATTCTCTTGATGTAGAATTCACCGAATATAATGTGCGCAACAAAAGTTGTTGACAGCAATTTAAAATTATCGCACCGACTGTCTTATATGCAGCCCCGCGATTCCGACGTTCCCGTAATTTTTTCAATATTTTGATAAGCCGCGTAATGCCTTTCTTCCTGTTAACGACATGTCGCAACGCGATCAACGTTGAAGATGGACTAAGCATTGAAATGAAGTTCCCGCTCACGCGGGAAACTACGCGAGACACGTCAGAAATTGACGTCAGAGTAATCGCCGGTATTTTTGCAAAGTGTACAGAATGTGTGACGTTGCTAGTAAGCAAGTTGACGTAAGCGTGTCGATCTATATAAAGAGGGAAAAAAAGAAAACGATGTATATATGTATATATATATATAAAGATATATATTCTTCATATATATATGAAGATTACGCAGAATATATCCGACAGCTATTAAAACATTCCTCGTAACTTCTCAATCGACAGCTCATCTGTAATCACGTAATTCTCTACATTCACCTGTGTATACACGTTACTACATCGGTATAATATCAAAGCATGTTTTCGATGATACAGTTGATAAAAATATTGATAAAAATTCAGGTAATAAAGTTGTGACTGTTCGTTCTTCGCAATGGAAAACTGGCTTTCATTAAGAAATAAATCCTCCAAAATTGTCGAGTTTTAGTTCATCAAACGGTTATAAGAGTATGTGTCATACAGAAAAATGTAAATTTATAAATATAACAGTATAAAAACTGTTTTGGTGATAACGGTTTTGTCAAAAGTCTGGAAAGATGTTAAATAAAATCGTGTATTCGTCCAATCAATGCGTTTTCTTACTGTGTTTATCTTAGGAGACCTTCGTTACTTATCAAAATCGATTAAAAAATATTTCAAGAGCAGTTATAAATACGGGGATCCCATATCATATATGAAAATATGAATTTATAAAAAGAAGGATACCAAGAATTGTTTGATGATAAGTATTTTCTCAAAAATATCTCTACAAAAAATATTTCTCTACAAACATTTAAAATAAAATGTTTTTTTAGCATTATAGCATAAGCATCATGAAACATGCTTAACAGAATACTTTCACAGAATATTCTCTTGTGTGCAAATCCAAGTTTATATTGACTAATAAAAAAAAATCAATGTTAACCCTTAGTCCCGACTCATGGGTCGTTTTCGACCCAAGCGAAATTTCAAAGTGCTGTAAGGTACCTCCATTTCTTAATAACAAACTATATAAAAAAATAATTTTTATCGAAGTATTATAATTGGGACTTCAAGTTGAAGGTTGAAAGAAGCTCCATGAATTTTTTCAGATTTTTTAAAGCGTTTTTACTGATACCAAATTAACGCAAAGACGCAAACGACCCATGAATCGGGATTAAAGATGCCGAAAAGAACCGTCGGGACTAAAAGTTAATTATCACACAATA